AGAGCCCGAAAAACCCACAACAACCGTGGGTCTTCAATCGTTGGTGGAAGGATAAAAGGGAGGAGGCTGACCGAACCCTTGAGGGAGAACATTCCATAACCTGGGAGCGGTCACAGAGAAGGCCCTGTCTCATATCCCGATCTAATGGGTCTGCAATGTGGCAGTGGGACAGAGAGACCTCTGAAGATCTTAGGGGTTAGAAATGTATGGTCCTGTTATGACCCCCAGATCCAAAAGTTCAGAGCAGACTGTGAGTCTTCCATGGCTGTGGTGAAAGAGAGAATTATGGCCAATAGGAATTTGAGAACCAAAGCAATCCTAATGGACCTATCTCTCCCTATAGTTTCCCCAACAGCATCTTCCACCCTGGCGCCAGCAGGTAAGTTCTCCCTGCCTTATATCCTGCCTTCCTTCCCTGCCTCGTACTGATCCCCCCAGACTCTCACTCTGCTAATAACGGTGGGTGTGCAGAACAGGCAAAATATAGGCCAAGCTGGGCAGACCAACTTTGCTAACACGCTGTATTGGGGCAACTCGAACCACTAACTGCTTTCCCTCCCCTCCCTCTTGTGCATGCTGCCTAAGGGAACCCTGAACTCCGAACAGGTGGGTGCAAGGATGAGGAGGTCGCCCACAAGCCACCCCAACAATGACAGTGCGGAAGGACCAGTTCTGGGGGTGGAAGGAGGCGGGGGAAGAACTATTTCAGTGTCCTTGATCTCCATCTCATCCCGCATCTCCTCCATATATAAGGGGAAAACAGGAAATGATGGGGAGTGGGGGAAAGGAAGGGAATATGCCATAGAGTCCCGTTTCATGTCAAAGAATGGATTAGACTGATTTCCTAGCTGTTTTGAGCCATTCCCTAGTGGTCACAGCCCCAACGCCTGGTTCTCGGGATGGTAGAGGAGCAAGGCCGGTGTCCTTGTGAGCCCGCCTGTGTTTCATGGCTGTCTTTCCTCCTGACAGTGGAGGGGGAAGAGAGCCAGGGGGGCAGCACCATCGCCGTCATCGCCGTGTGCGTGTGCGTCCTTCTGCTGCTCCTCATCGTCGGCTTCTTCTACTTCATGCAACGCCGTGGCCAGCTGCCCTGCGGTGGGGGCGAAAAGAGATCTCTGTGAGTTGACTTCTCTCTAGGGAGAGATGTGCGTGCATGTGACCCATAGGTTCTTTTATTCCCATCCATCCTTTCCCTGCCCCCACCTTGGTCCTTTCGCTCAAAGAGCTTCCCGGGTGAGCTCCACCCGAAATATTTTTTAAAAAACCCCACCCAATCCTATATCAGCACATCCCAGCGTGCAAGATGCATAATAGTGGACTCAAGTGACGGGAAGCCAGATTTGGGCGGAATATCAAGAAAAACGTCTGAACGTTAGAGCAGTACGACAAGGGAACCAATGATCTCAGGGGGAAGTGGTGAGCGCTCCAGTGTTGGAGCATTCAAGAGAAAATTGGACAATTGCCTGTCAGATCAGCTTTGATTTCGGATTCCTGCTTTGAGCAGGGGGTTGGACTTTGTGGCCTTAAGAGGCCCCTTCCCACTCCATGGTTCTATGATTCTAGCATTGTAACGATGGAAAGTCAGAGGATTTTTAACAAAACAGTGGCTTTATAGTCACCTCCCAACTTGATTCTTCGATGATTCTATATCAGGGCGTGCAATTGTTCACCTAGTACAGTGGTGCCCCGGATAACGAGCACTTCGTTTAACGACGAATCCGCATAGCAATTGAGTTTTTGCGATCGCATAATGATGTTTCAGATGGTAAAACATCGCTTTGCGATGATCGATAAGCATTTCGCTTACCGATTAGCGCATAACAATGTTTTTGGAACAGCTGATCGGCGGTTCCAAAATGGCTGCCAGGTAAAGAAAATGGCCGCCCGCTGTGTTTTCGCGCCCTTTCCTCACTTACTGGGCAGCGAAAATGGCAGCCGGATTGAGGGTTTTTGCAGAACGGCGAAAATGGCAGCCGGATTGAGGGTTTTCGCAGAACGGTTTTCCCCCATAGGACCGCATTAAACGTGTTTTAATGCATTCCTATGGGCTTTTTTGCCCCGCATAGCGATGAATCCGTATAGCGACGATTTTTTCGGAACGGATTATCGTGGCTATGCAGGGCACCACTGTATATTAATCTGTCTTACTGAGTCCTGTTTGTCCTTTATGTTTATTAATTTAAAGCCCCTTTTCTGTCCTGCTCCTTCAACTAAAAGGGTTTCCAGAATGGTTTCTACATGAGTATTTTAACCAGGGCTGGCTGAAGAGCTCAGATTGAGAGTTTGATTCCCCCACTTTGCTCCCTGGGAGAAGAGCCAGCCTGGGTAGCCTTGGGCCAGCTGCACACAGCCCCAGGGCTCCCCCTAGAGGAAAGGAAGGGTAAAAAAACCCACTTCTGTGCATTGTCTGGCTAGAAAACGCAGGAAAAGGTCACCAAATGTCAGAATTGATTTGACGGCATGCAGTATTATTGCTGTGAACTTTAAGAAGTTACACAAAATCCTCTTAAGCTTGAGCTCATGCTAAGAGACATTCAGGTACTCACCATCTCTGATCACAAATGTTTTGTCCCTCCCGAGTAACTTTCACGCGGCCCTTTGAACCTGTGTCTCTGGGATGTTATGCTCAGATGTCATGAGCTTTCCTTCCTCTTCCAGGACTCCCAAAGAGGGGAATCCTGACGACACAGTGGTGGAGATGAAGACGGACAGGCGGAACGAACAGACGGGGCTGCTCAGCCACGGAGGAGGAGGTGGCGGGAGTGGGACAAACGAGGTGAGGAGAAGCGTGGAGGGAAATGGACGGCACGACTCCCCACCCACACCCACCCCTGTCTCCTAAGATTCAGAGTTGAGACCCCATATCTCTTAAGCTTCAGAGTTTCGGGACAACAGAGTCCCAGGCTGACATGGCCAGCCGCTGTGCTCACGGAGGGATTATGGGAGCTGTAGTCAAAGCAAGCAGTATTTCTGAACCCTGGTTGGTATGGAGTCATGCAAAAGGTTTTGGGGGTAGTGCTTCCTCATGAGGAGGGTGTGAGGGTCTAGAAAGAAACAGATGGGGATGGAGGAGGGAAGAAAAAGTAGCTGTTTAGCTTAGTGGTTTGGATATCTGGCTGTGGAGCCAGAGGTTGGGAGTTCGATTCCCCCACTGAGCTCCCTGGGAGAAGAGCCAGCCTGTGTAGCCTTGGGCCAGCTGGACGGTCCCAGAGCATCCCCAGGAGAAGGGAATAGTAAATCTCTGTGTTGAAAACCCTGAAAAGAGTCACAGTGTTCAAATTGACAGCACACTATTATTGTTGTTGTTGTTGTTGTTGTTGTTGTTGTTGTTGTTGTTGTTGTTGTTGTTGTTGTTGTTGTTGTTGTTGTTGTTGTTGTTGTTGTTGTTGTTATAACCTCTCTTTCTTTTCTCTTCCTTCCCTTCCCCCTTTTTTATTTAAAACAACGGCCGTTCCTCCTCGCAGTGCTGAGAGTCGACCGGGCATTGTCTTGTTCCAGAGGAAGCCTCCCCGACTCCTTCAGACCCACCACGGATGAAGAGGATGCTCAGGCTGGCCTGTGCAATGGGGAACGCGACCCCCCCGCCAGGCGGTCCCTTCTTTCCTTGCAGGGCAGGGAGCATCCGTCCATCCAGACGTTGGGGTTTGGGGGGGGGCGAAGTGTGGGAACGGTTGTGCTGCCACAGCATCTTTCCCCTTCTCTGGTAAAAGGGCCTGCTCTTTTTAATTTTATTTTTTAAAAAACATGACAGGGGCCTCCATCCCTTGGATTCAACGGGAGAGGCTTCCTCAAAGCACCGCCTCATTTTTATCCTTGCCCAGACTGCCGACCTGTTAAGCCTTTGGTGCATGAACTAGCCTGTGCACGCCGTTAATGCTGGCGATATCCACACACTGCCGTGCAAGGAAATTCTCGAAAGAGTCTCTGGCCCATCCGTTTTTATTTCATTTCACTGTTACAGATCCGTCCCCGCCGGGCCACGCACTCACTAACCCCTTCTGATCCAAATGGAGTCGTTTCTGTCTCTCTCTCTCTTTTTTTCCAAACCTTTTACTACCTGGGTGCTTTGTGGCGATCCTTGCTCGCCACTGGGTGATCGTTTTTTTTTTTTCACGCTTCTGCCAAGGTGTGTGTGTGCAGAGCCCTGTTCTGGCAAACATGTATCTCTCTCTGTATCCTCAAGACATGTGCTTAAAGGGAACACAAGCAGGCCTATCCTCATGCGCTGTGCACGCTTACATAGGTGCACTCGTGACACCCCTGTTCGCAACACAGCCAAGGACACGAGCCGTGAATTGCGTCTCTTTGTGTGAGTGTGTATGTGTGAGTGTGTATTGCTCCAACACTGAGCACGTTCACACATGCCACTGTCATAAAAAAATGTGTGCCTGTGCCCGTGTACACCTTATGAACGCCTGCCATCCATGTACTGTATATTACCATTTCATAGGTATACCGGTGTTCCTAGTACACCTTTCTTTGCCTAATCCTTTATGGTTTAAAAGGAGCTCCCTTTTGCAAATCCTGCTGCCTTGGGGCCCCTTGCTTGCTGCGGGGAAATCCACGCTGTGCCTCTTGTCCGTGCAAAGCTGTTACCTGTGATTCACTTTGAACAGTTAGACCTGTAGCAGCAAGCGGTGAGCATCATAGCAAAGAAAAGCTTTAACTGGTGATGGGTGGCTATCGCTCCACTCTTAAAGGCCTAAGAGCAGGCTAGGCTGGTTCACGTGTATATATATATATATATATGTGCGTGTGTGTGTTTTCTCCCCTTGGCCAGTCGGCAACCTTTCGGCGCCCACACCCCTTTTTTGTTTCGACGCCTGGATGCCGACTGCGCCGGCCAACAACCACCAAGGTTGAATCCGTGCACAGACGCCCGGTCTTGTTATTCCAAGACAGGTGTCTCTCTTCCCGGTCAAGACTGCCTCTCTCTCCCCCCCCCTTGTCTGCGTGAGGAAGGCGCGTCCGCCCACTGCGGTACCGCTCTTAACTTCTGGGAGGTTATGGATATGGCTTCCCAATGGAAAGGAGGTGGTTTCCAGGCAGGCTTGTGCTTCTGTCTCATCTTCCTGTCCATCTGTCTGTCCTTGCTCCCTTCGCTGGCCAACGAGCAAGCCATGTCCAAAATGTTATGATGTGTTTCAGCGCGCTTCTTGCCTTTGGAGGTCAAGCCGGCCTTGGAGGTCTTCCCATTGGACTTCCTAACCGTACCTTCCGGAGGGGCCTCCCCGGAACTGCCCGGCCCCTTGGCAAAGAGATTGCTGGACTGGGGAGTTCCAGGCTCTCATCCTTTGGATGTTTTTTTACGAGGATCCTATCCACTCTCTTCCCTTTTGGGGTAGTGAGTGGCTAGAACCTCGCCTCTTCCGCTAGTTTCACTCTCTTTGTTTTTATACAGGATTTTTTTGTCTGTACAGAATAAGCCTTTTTATGAGGTTCTAGTCTTCCTCTCTTCCCCAGACCCTGTGGTGTGGCTTCTTTTTCTCTCTCTTGCACTTGTCTGGTCGAGACACTGGCTTTGGGGGTAGGGGGTGGGGGAACTGGGGGCTTTTTAAAAGAAGTGTAGTATATTTAATGGTGTTGCATCCTAGAAAACAAAGCGGGGGTGTGGAGCTAAGTCAGAAGGTGGGGTGGCACCAGGGAGCTAGTAGCAAAACAAAGGCTAATAATCCATTGGACACTTAGAAAGAGTTTTCTCAAACTGAGTACAGGGGTGCTGCGCAAGACGAACGCCTTGCAGGATGAAAAACCTGCAAGACGAATGGTTTTTGCAATCGCTATGGTACCTCGCAAGTAGCTTCTTCTATGGCCGTGCTTTGCAAGATGTTTTTTTTTCCCCAAGACCGGTGCCTCGCAAGATGAAAAAATTTCATTAGTCTTGCGAGGTTCCCATAGGAATGCATTGCAATGCATTCCTATGGCAAACCGCTTTTCACAAGACGATTTTTTCGCAAGACAGCGCTACTTGCGGAAGAAATTACATTCATCTTGTGAGGCACCACTGTGTTTTGATGGGCACACCCTTCCTTTCTTGAAGGTAGCCAGGAGCCTCCTTGGACTCCTGACTTCCTAACTGTAAGAGCAGTACGACAACGGAACCAATGACCTCGAGAGGTGTTGGGCGCTCCAACGCTGGAGGCATTCAAGAGAAAATTGGACCACCACCAAACTCCAGGCGAAGGCTGCAGCTTTCGATTTCCTCTATCAGGTGAATGGGTTGGTCTAGATGTCCTCTAGGGCCCCTCATCAACTGTTTTTTTTTCCTCATGTGGGGCACACCCTTCCTTTCTCGAAGGTAGCCAGGAGCCTCCTTGAACTCCTGACTTCCTAACTGTTAGAGCAGTACGACAACGGAACCAATGACCTCGAGAGGTGTTGGGCGCTCCAACGCTGGAGGCATTCAAGAGAAAATTGGACCACCACCAAACTCCAGGCGAAGGCTGCAGCTTTCGATTTCCTCTATCAGGTGAATGGGTTGGTCTAGATGTCCTCTAGGGCCCCTCATCAACTGGTTTTTTTTTTACTCATATGGCTGTTAAAGGCACTGGAGCTAGTCAGCTGCCAATTCTCCCCATTTTGCATCCCCCCCACCCCAAAATGCGGTAGCTCCTATGTCTCTCTTCAAATATGTCTATTGCCTGCTGACCATACTTGGGTTACACTGTACATTAGCAATTAAAATATTGTAAACCTCTGCTTGGCTCTTGTGTTTTGCTTTCTCCTTCACTGGTTTCCTGTGGGATGGGCGCCATCCCCCCCCCCACAACCACAAGCAGCCCTCTGAGGCTGAAAGTGCACCCACATTGACAGAACAGCTCACTATTTGCATCACTTTTGGTGGCGTTCGCGTTACGGCGTCCTCAAGTGTTTTGATTTCAAGAAATCTGTCTTGCACTTTTTTTAGAGCCGTCCCGCTCCTTTCTTGGCACAGCAGTACGGCTACAGTTTTTGAGACGTGATTCAGAGTGCTCCTAATTAGCCCGTTCTGTGCAGGTAAGTCTGCCCCAAAGGATTCAGAGTGCTCCTAATTAGCCTGTTCTGTGCAGATAGTCTGAAACAGAGCTGTAGGCAGTGTTATCTGAGGTGGCGACCCTGTGATATATTTGGCGATTCAGAGTGCTCCTAATTAGCCTGTTCTGTGCAGATAGTCTGAAACAGAGCTGTAGGCAGTGTTATCTGAGGTGACGACCCTGTGATATATTTGGCAACTTATGAAATTGAAAGGGATGTTGGAGAGCCTCCCTCCTCTATTTTCATCAAATCTGCCATTTAAAAATTTTAAAATATACTTCCTATTGATGCAGTGCTATTCTAGGTAAACAAGATACATTGATGGATCCTATGCTAGATGTATTGCTGTTTCGCTATGTCACTTTATTTAACAAAAAAGGGGGGGGAGAAAACCACTGCAACCTGCCGAATGATGATCACGAGAAAAGACAGGGAAGGGGAGTGTCATTAATTGAATAGGGGATAAATTCAAGCGATCCGAAAATCTGTATGGACCCCTCTCACAGAGAAAAAAATGCCAATCAGTGTGACTGGAAGGATCTCTCAAATGAGAGAGAAAAGAGATTTGTTCTTAAGATGAGAACTCTTTAAGCAACCAGACTGCTCCAATTTCCCCTAACTGGACATGTCCAGAATTTCAAAATTATGCCCTCCCTTTCTGTCCTGGGACGTACCATTGGAGGCCCATCTGAGTGTTGAAAGGCCAACTCATCTCCTGCCCTCCCCTCCCCATCTCCAAAAGAAAATCCTTTTGGCAGCTGATTTTACAGGCATTCAGAACTTCCTTCCTTCTGGAAAGGAAACTTTGGTTGATAGCAAGGAGGTGGGTGAGTTTATGTATACTGTGTTCCAAATTTTTTTTCCTTCCCTTCCCTACATGGCAGCATTTAGCAGTTGGCTGGCTTCCATCTTGCGTGGAGGTTGGTTTCCTCTGGCCCAATGTTGTGAATTAAAATTACGAAGCCAGGAGTAGCAAGTTTTAGGCTTTTTTTGATCTTGTGAAGGATGGGACTTCTAAAAAGTCCTGTCATTCACAGCCTTGGTGATGTTTTACAAACGAAAGACCATGGTTTCCTTTAGTGAGTCAATACACCCAATATTTAGTCCTCCTCTTTTCCTACTGTCTTCCACTTTCTTTAGCTTTATTGTCTTTTCCAAAGAGTCTCGTCTTCCTATATATCCAAATTATATTGCTGTCAATTTGGTCTTTTGTTGCTGCTGCTGCTGCTGCTTCTGGGGAGTATTTAGACTTGTTTTGATCTAGAACCCATTTATTGTTCTTCCTGGTGGTCCATGGTCTTTGTAAAGCAAATACAGTTTAGTACTGACAGCCCTTGGATGAGTTTGGAGAAAAGATCCAACCCATGTGGAATTCAAAACTCTTGACTTGTACTTGCAGCCTGCATTGTGGAACACCCTTTAACAAAACAGAGCAAGCACAGACATCTGCCATGGCTTTTAGGACTTCTATTAGTAGTAGTACTAAATAACGGTAGTTGTCATCATCATCTTAGAACCGCAGAGCTGTAAGGGATTGTATGAAAAGTCCAGCCCCTGTCAAGGAGGCACAGTAAGGAATCAAACTCCCAACCTCTTGACTCCACAGCCAGAGACCTAAACCACTGAGCATATGTATTTTTCCTGAACTCTGCAATACACTGGCGTACAGCCTGATGAAGACCAATATTGATTGAAAGCTAGCATTTTTTAAAAATTAAGATTTCAGTGGTCTGATGGCGGTACTGTATTGCCTGCCTTTGCTTTTCTGTTGGGTAAGGGCCACATGGCATTATGGGTATGTGAGCAATGTAATAGCAATGCCAAAGGTGCCAGAATGAATGAGGTCTCTGTAGCAGTTGTTAAGAGTTGATTAGCTGGCTCTAGAGGGTGAAATATTTAAAATCTTCAGTGTTTCTAGGATATTTTACATCTCTCAGATAACCACATGTGTATAAATAACTTGTGTGCTGTTCTAAAGACACAGACAAAGATTTAAATTT